AAAAAAGTGAAAAAAAGTGCACAAAATTTCACTTCCATAAAATTTGGAATTTTTTTAAGGCCTGGTTTTTGAAATCTACGTTTGACGTGTGTCTGGTAATCTAGGAAAGTTTTTGAAGGAAGCTTTGAGGAACAGAGCAGCAGCTAGAACTTTCTATGGTACAGATAGAACAGAGAAGTTGAAGCGTCAGCCTTTGAGTCAAGTTCTGCCACAGCACGCAGGGCCGGTGGAACACGGACATTTAAAAAAATATAAAAAATCGGAATGTACAAATTTAATAAATAAATATATGTAAGAGTAGAAGATACAGAGAATATGGAAATCAATGGTTCACTGTGGCAACCATTGAAAAAAGGGACAAAGCCGAAAGAAAAAGAAGAAGCTACATATATGTAATATATAAATATAACAATATATATATATATTCGATAATAATAATATAATACAAATATATGGTAGATCACTGGCATTAAAAATTACAATTCAAATATATAAATAAATAAACACATACATATTAATAATAAAATATATAAATAAATATATATTAAATATATAAGAAATATATATAAATATATTTTATTTTATTCTATTTTGCAATTTATGGTAAGGATCCATATTGTGCCATACAGTGACTTGTATTTAATCAAAGTATACCAACAGACAATATATATAAAATATATATAGAGAGAGTATATAAACATAAATATAAATAGAACATTTTAGCCCGTTTGAACTTTAGTAAATTTCCAGAGGACACAGTGTCATGTGGACAAGCAAAGTCTGGAATCGAACCCCTGACCTTCCATTTAAAAAGCTACATACATACAGCTTTGTACATCTACAGTGTCCGCCACTTAGACACATAAAAAATAAATTTTGTTGGTGAGGGAGTACTCATGGAGGATTACTAGGTCAGTATTACAGTACATGGACTACTAGCTGAATAACAGAATATATATGATCTATTTTAACAGAGCTGAACTCATCCACCATGTCGTATCAGATAATAAAACAGGGTTGACACACATGGTAAGCGTGCAAAAATAAACCCCGAATGTTGCTCTAACAATTAGACCAACAATCGTTTTGCAAGGACAACCTGAGGTTACGCAAAACCTGGGCAGTGCTACTTGCTATGTAGTGACCGCAACTCACTTCTGCTCAACAGCTTTGTATTTTCACAGTCATCTACGGCGAAATAGCAGAAGTGAACAAAATGTCGAAATCTTGGTTCACTTCAAGACAGATTGTCTTCTGGTCGGCTTACGGTAGCTCAGGCGGTCAGGCTTCCCGTTACACCCAGGGTCCGGATATCCGGCGCTCCCTTTCACTTAGAAAAGGAACTGCACTTTAACAAGAGCAACCATATTACCAGTTAGAAACATAAATGACCGTGAATTTTAATATATATAACGATGACACTGACGTGTCTTCTTCCTGGGCTACTTTTGTTTTTACTCAAAAAGAATCCCAAGTTTGGGATCAATGTTACTTTTAGAAAATGTAGCGATATCAACCTACATATATTATATATATGTAATGTATACATATATATATACATATATGCACATATGTTTTGTTTTTATTTGAAATTAATCAAAGTTTGGGATCATCCGCCATTTTAAAATGTAGCAATATCAAGCTACATATATTTTAAATACGTTATATGTACATATAAATACATATATACTAGATATATTGTATGTATACATACATATATACATATATATCTCCAGCTAATATAACTCAGCATTATCTGGCAGTGCATCGTTCAATATATTCATATATTTTCTTAGCACAGTTATCTCTCACTATCTCAGTTCTCAGAGGTGAAAAACCAAAACAAAAAAAAAAACTATAAAAATATTTACCGACTACATATATATTTAACTTCAAGTGTGACATCTTTGCATTTTCTGACGTATAAATAGAAAACAGAAGAGAACCGAGACGAGCGCCCTGAGGGACTCCGTGTCCACACTGTGGTCTCATGGAAGCAGAACAACAAACAGCAACAAACAAGGGCCGTGTCTGACAGCAGCACCTTATCAGATTAACCATGACTTTGGTTATATTTTTTGTTTGTTTTTTTGCATTACGTTCCATAAAAAGCCGACCAAACCGACAGCTGTCGTATTTCTGGCCTCCTTTCCTGTCAGCCTCGAAGACTGTTGTGGAAACAAAACAGCCTCACTAAAGGACGTCGCTGAGAATTAAAGCCAACTTTAAAACGTCTGAACACAAGACACCAAAATAAGAGTTTCAGTCCCAGTCACCAAAATAAGAGTTTCAGTCCCAGTCACCCCAGGAATTCTGAGCAGAGGACCCCGGGGTCACAGAGGTAAGGTTCAAGCCCAGTTTGACTAGAGTCCCCATAGTTTTGTGTCAGGTCCAAGTCACTGAAGGAAAGTTCAAGTTGAACCCTGAGGTTCTGGGTCCGAGTGGCTCCAGAACCCCAAGGTTCAGGTTCCCCCAGGAACTCCAGTTAGAACCAGTCAGTCGTCAGTGAGAATGCCAACAGTTCTGGCAGCGGTGTGGAAAAATCGGTTCCTAACAAACGTGAGACGCTGCAGCTTCCGACGCCCAACAGACCAAACACTCAGTGATTAAGAAAAGCGACTGTATTTTCATTTTCACAGTTAAACATCAGTACGTGTGTTTGGTCAGCTGAGACGACCGATGACCGGGTCGGGAACCTGAAACTAGAAGTTCCCAGGCGGAACTGTATTTCTCACATTTTAGTTTATAAACTGAACACATAAAAATACATAAAAATATATATGTAAATATATAAAATATATATAGAAATACATCAGGCAAATGGGCGGGTTACAAAATACATTAAAAACACAAATATATTTATTTATATATTGATATATGGAAATATATTTCTGTTATATTTTGTTTATATTTGTGTGGTCTTTTTTTAATGTATTTATTCACTTCTTTAAAACATATTCCCACAGATCTGTGTGGAGACCGAGTGTTCCTCAAACCACTTTGGGTCTGAATCTGTTTGAAAGAACAACAACGACAACAACGACGACGACGACGACATGTGACAACAGCCGGTACACGGTGTACATCAGACTGACAGGTGTGTCAGTGTTGCCTTATCAGAGAAGTTTTTCAGGAGGACAGTTGGAGTCAGAAGAGGCCGTGATGCAACTAGGAATTTACGGACAGACACTGCCCACTGACGGTAAAACGCTGAAAAGGAGGCGGGGCTAAAAGTGCAGGAGAAGAGGTCATCTGCTGTGGGAATTTCCCCGAGTCCTGTCAGGGTACGAGCCGGGAACGGGGGAAAGTTTGCGAGGGAAAAAAAAAATGCGTAGAATGTTTTTCTGAAACTCTGCCAAGACGAAGAAGAGCAGCAGAGGAGTCTGTGCTGAGGTAACCTCGGAGTTTGGGATGTGACAAGATCTGAGTGTTTTATTCTGCACAAGTGTGTGTGTGTGTGTGTGTGTGTTTTCTGCTCTCTCTGTGTTCAGCCGGGGCCTACAGCCAGACCACAACTACTACTTACAGTTATTGTCCTGAACACGGTGGATAACAATGTCTTATTTAACAGTGGGTGTAACATTCTTCAAGTGGTGATGTGTTGGAACGGGAGGATGTTGCACAATAACTAAAAGCTCGAGTATTCATCATGGAGTGTGTCGAAATCTCCCACTGTATTCAAAATATTCCTCCCTCTCTCTCTCTCTCTCTGTGTGTGTGTGTGTGTGTGTGGAACCAAAACAATATCAGGTTCTATATTTTACTGAGGCGACGGAGCACGGCCCAAAATATCAACCTTTCTTCACTCAAATAACTCTGAAGATTGTGTTGGTTTTTTGAACAGTAATAGTTACAGACAACCCCCCCA